CAAAGGTTTTTAGCAACCACCTCCAGGTGAACTATCTGTAGTTCACCCACCCTGTTATAGCCCCCGTAAAGTGGTTTTTCGTTCTTACTTTTGTGAGAAAATTTCGCCACGGAAGTCAGTGCGTAGGGCTTCCTCAGCACAGGCAACTTGAGACGTTTGATCCTACAGAAGCATTTCATGAGGTGCAAGTAAGGGTGACCAGGCAAAATCCGGGGCACCTCCGACCACACTGAGGCTTTCGGAGGCAGTCGTCATCCTCCATTTCACTATACAGCACAGTATTAGTCACATTACTGACGGGAGCAATCGTTCCCTCGTTGACCAAAACATGAATAAGAAGATAAGCAACGCAAAGTGGAGTCGAAAGCAAGAAGTTTTTACGTGGTGATTTTCTTCATATATGAACGTTTTTGGCCGCTGAGTGGGGAGAGTTTAACAAACGATGGTGTTTACAAAACAGACTTATTCAAAGCCAGAATATATGATACACGGAGAAGTTGTGGAAGTCGAAATTCAATGTTAAAAACTGAATTTCAAAATAATATAATAATAATAATAATATTACCACATATTAATATATAATATGTGGTATCAATATTACTAATATTACTATTCGTGTCTCGTTCTTGTATCTCTACAGTTTCCAACCCTCGAATGATTCTTTTTCGGTAAATCGTATTTACATTTGGTTTATTTGTTGTATCTCAACTTCTAGTTCTACTTTACCTCCCATCATAATTCTTTTTCTCCGTTTTATTAGTATTTTTAGTACAGTATCATGTGACCATTGCGCCTGCCATATCATACTACTCAGTATCATCTCGTTGTCGTTCCCCAGCGGAAGCTCGTTCCACTGTAAGTGACACATGGTCCACTGATGTTCTTCCATCTGATACCGAGTATCCGGATGGCGGTTCCGAATATCTTGGCCCAGAACCTCCCGGTAACAGCTCATCGAGCCGGCGACCATCCACATCCCATCGTGATCCTATACAATCCATGGAACGTTTGGACAGCAATCGCCATCCGCATCACCATCATCGTCATCATCGCCATCATCGCCATCATTGTCGTGATCCCTTGTGTGCAACACATGAATCCGGTCGTAACGTTTGCGCTGGAACGACCTCGGGTCGTTCGGGCACCGAGTCGGTGCCGAGACATCATCACACCGGGGACCAGGCTGCAGTCAGGAGTGCAGGAGTTAACGAGGGCGTTGAAGATTCATCTGTTGGACCACATAGGTCCATATTTTTCACTCCGATCGAGAACGAAAGCATCACTCCAGCACCAGAACAGTCTCATTTAATGAACGAAGTAAGTTTACTCTCCAGTTTCCGCTCTCTTATAAATTACCAGTATGGTAATTTTTCCGGAAAACGGCAGCCAGTCGGAGCGGAATAAACCATTCGATGGTTCATCAGCCCTCTACCTCTTGATGAACTGTCATTCTATATGACACACCGGACAGAATAGATGTTAGAAATCCCACAGAAGTGATGTCTTCATCGTTTTACTTCATAATCAGTGCTATTCGACTGGTTTCACTGTATTCTAGTGTATTTTTAAAAATTAGATCTGACTGTATGAGTTCAAGTCAATAACTAACCACTCTCATTATATTTTATCAGGTTTTGGTTTGATTGATGTACTGACTTCTTGTGCCCACTATCAAATGTACTCACCGTGGAGATGACAATTCACCCGAATCACGATCAACTAATGTCACGTTTGAGAATCTCGGCTTGCTGTGAAGTGATCGGTAAACAAGCCCTTTCCGGTAACTGCCTGATGATATTATTTTGCAAACAGGTCGAAGTCCTATCCGGTGTGCTTGTCTTCAATACAAACTGATCGCGAAGCCACGAAGCACTCTAATTGTGCTATCCTACTCTGTCAAAACTGCGAACAAACTAATCGCGAAATTCAAATCACTTGACCAGTATTGACTTATTGTGAAAGACTAGGTTATTTTTACTTTTTTGCCAAACAAATTAGCCACTTCTCGCTAGCCAAATGAATCATTGAGCAGAAAAAACCTTCATTCACCTCGAAGAATTCATTAGGCCATCGTGTTTCGGTCACCTCATGGACAGTAGTCACTCTGAACAAGGTCAGTGCGATTGTTGACGGAAATCGGTTTGGTTTTCCACTTTTTCTCTTGAAGCCTTATGGTTTCGCATGATGTTTTCGAGACTCAGCACCGTCAACTCTGTTGCTTGCACCACTGTATGCAGGTTTGTTTCTTCAGTAGCTAACGTCTTGCTTCCACGAAATAGGAACATACAGGTGTATGCAACTGGGGTTAAAACTTCGTTATAGTTTTCAATCTACAGTCGACAATACTATGGTATGTTGTCAATCATTCGATTGTCCTAGGTTAGTGGTCTCCGTTGACGATCTACTAGCATACATATTTCTTACTTGCA